GTAAGTAAGATCCTAATGGTATAACTGACAATGTGAAATAGGAAGAAAAGGGCCAAAGGTGTAGGGGAAGTGTGAAGGGTAGGGGAAAGGTAATAAGGGAAAAGAAAAAAAATATGAGAAAATGAAAAAATGCAAAGAAAATATTTGTAAATAGGGAAGGGAGGAGAGGGTAAAGGGAAGGCAGGAGTAAGGGGAAAAATGAGAACCAAGACCTGTCATGTAAAGGTACAAGATCACAATGGTAATGTAACTGTACTGTACACCTAAAATGTACCAATAAACTCAATGAGAAAAAAAAACTGATACGCCTAAAATACAGCAGTGTGCATTTATCATTTGGTTGATGAAGGCTGACACAGTACACACATTTCCTTGGTTGAGATGTTTCTTGGATATTTGGTCTTTTTAGTTAAATATATCTGCAATAAATTTTCTATATGCCTTTTTTTTGTCAAATTTTACTATATTAACGGTCATATTATTACTTTATTAGTTACCACTCCTGAAAAAAAATCACTGCAAAAATAGTGTTTAATTCTTATGAAGAAAGAGTAATTTGTGAGATTTTTTCCCTATCCCTAACAACAGCTTCTACAGCCTAATAGCAGTTTTTTTAAAAAAAAAATTAATTTGGTGAACAAATTCTTGTTTGTTTCTTTGTCCACTTCGCCATGCTAAGAACTGAACCCAGGGCCCTCACATTGAGCTACTATCCCTAGCCATTTTAATTTAATATTACTTTACTTATTTTTTTAAATTTTAAAATAGTGTCTCACTAAGTTGTTAAGTTGCAAAGGCTGGGGTCAAATTTATGATCCTTCTGACTCACTCAGCCTCCCAGAGTGCTGGGATTCCAAGCATGCACCACCCCACACAGCTCAGGTGATCTTGTCTGAATAACAGTGTAAAATTACCACGACATCCAGAAATCATTATCAAATGATTACATCTAAACAGTTAAAATATCTGCCTAAGTATAAAAGTAAGGTCAGAGTAAGGTGTCCTCATATTATTGTCAAACTTAATGAATAAGGTAGTTCTAGGAAGATGGAATAACTTTTCAGAAGGAAGTATAAAGAGTATGGGAAATTTAAACTAATCATTACCATATTATTTAACAATCATATATACTGTAAAAATATATTTACTTATAAAAATTTTGTTTCTACATTATCTACTGAATATTTTTAAAAAGAATTTTTCTTCTTTCACTACATAACTACCTCGGTTTTGTGCTTCTAATTAAGATACGGACTTATTTAGAGCTCTGTGGTATGAAATTAAACCAGCAGTTTTCTAATATCCATAAAATAAATTTAAAATGTTTTTCCTCTGAAAGACAGATAATTCAGTCACAGAAAGCTTATTTCTATGTTTCCTTTGTTTTTCTTTTTCTTTTTTTAGCTGCTCAGTAAGCCAATTTTCTACTTAAAATTTACTGTTAAAACTCTCATTAGATTCAGTATGTGGGCTTTATCCTCTCCATGGTGTGTTATACAAAAAAAGAGGCTTTTTTTTAAAAGTTTTCTATAAAGCAGTTGATCTCAACTTGGATAAACATAAAAATCCCCAAGGAAACCTGTAAAAGATACTGTTATTACCTCCCCTCCAGAGATTCTGAGGGAACCAGTCTGGGTGGGCCCCTTAAAAGCCCTACAGGTGATTGTGATGTGTTCCCAAGACCAAGAACTCTATACTGTTCTAGGATCTAGGATCCTACCACTGTCCAAATTAAAGCTTATTATCTTTTTTGATTGAATTCAGATGGGATATTTTTAAATTCTGTAGTTTAACAGACCAAAGATAGAGTTTTTTCTGAGACTATTTTTTTTTAGTTTGAATTTTAGGTTTTAAAAGCAGTTATTTCATAATTAAACCTTATGTCTTCAACACAAAAAAAGTAAAGCACTTTTCTAGACATTTCTTCCAAAAATCGTTTGCCTTTTGTATACTAAAGGTCACATGAGTTTCTGAAAAGTAAACATTTACATTTTTTTCCCAGCAAATTAGTTTTGTCAGAATAGTCTAATTCCTAAAACAAAAGCTCTTGCAGAAGGAGAAAGGGAAGAGAAAGAGAAGGAATAGGAAGGGGAAGAGGAAAAAAGGGGAGAAAGAAGGAGGAGAAGGAAGAGGAGGAGGAGGAAGAAGAGAAGAAGAACTGTGTTATCTTAATATACTAGAAGTGAAAAAGAGGAGATTATGCAATGAATAGTGAGTACAAAGATCATGCCTGGGCTGGAGGTGTAGTTAAGTGGTAGAGCAGTGCTTGCCTAGCAAGTATGCAGTCCCAGGTTCAATCCCTAAACCCCCCCCCACACGGAATGAATATCAAATAAAACTTTACGAAAATAGATTCAAATTCATAGAATAGATTATTTTATACAAATACAAAAAAGCTGTGGGAAAAAATCAAAATTGCGAGAAACAGCTTGTTAAAAATGGAATCAGTAATTAAATAATCTACTCTCTTTTAAAGACACAACACACAGGAAGTTTAATAGATAAAGTTTACCAAAAAATTTCAAGTACCATTCCTTTTGATACTTTTTCACAGAACAGAAAAGAAAAAGCTAGCCAGATCACTCCACAGAGCTAGTAAAATCTTCCTACTAAACTGAGAAATAATAAAAGTAAAATAATGTACCAACCTCATATTTGAACACATTATGAAGCTTCTTTAATCTTATCATCTCTCTAAGAATCAATCATTCCCCATTGGTTCCCATTACAGTTTACACAGTCTAATCATAGCACCATCCACAATTTTTTTTCACTTTTGGGGAATGAATTTAGGACTTCTTAAATGCTAACTAAATGCTCTACTGCTAAGCCCATTCACACTTTTAATGTACTTACACATTTTTACATTTGTCTTTCACTGTTGAACACTAAGATTCTTGCTGCCAGGACAGTTTCTTAGACATATTTTCTGGTATCAAATACAGCTCAATAGTTGCTGAATGACATGGTTTCAGATAGAAATACCATTAATGTGTACATGCAAAAAATGGGAAATAATAAGTCAATGAGCAAACTCATTTGATTACAGCATAAATTTGTATAAGAAAATAACATTGAAGGGCCAAGGATTTAGTTCAGTGGCACCATGCCTGACTCACAAGTGCAATGTCCTGAGTTCAATCCCCAGTACAAAAAAAAAAACAAAAAAAACACATAACACTGGAAAGATACAAGGCCAAGGTCAATCATCATGGGTTTTTCAGTGTGAGGCTGAGTTTAGTTTCAGAATCTTGAAGGCATTTATGTAGGTGATGGCTAAATCAGATATGTGCTTCAGAACCCAGATAAGCACATTTTGGAACTATCAGGAACCTGGAAGTTACTTATTACGTTGAAATTTATTGTTTTAAAAGAAAACTAAAGCCAATCATAGTATGTAATCAACCTAAAGCCATTCAACATAAAATTAGCAGTCTAATTTTGGAAGAAGGAAGGCTAAAGTGTTGGAGAGTAAACTCCACTAAGGTCACACAATAAGTATATGGTACAATCCACAAGTAAACACAGATTTTTCAACTCTGAAGTCCATGACCTAGATTAACACCACACACTGAGAAATACAGATCATATATACCCTAATTTCATGCTAGTGTACTCATTTAAAATAAAGTTTATTTATTTTATTATATAGCAAAGCATGTATAAGAATTCTAATTAGCTTAATTACATTAACTCATTTTCATGAAGTCTTTTTTCTTTGAGCTTCTGGACCCAAGATCAATAAAATGATAGGTGTAAGCCAGAATGTAGAAGAACACAGAATACTTGCTCAGTTTCATAAGATCCACATTTAAAGCACACAAGTAACCTTAGTCACTGCAACAGAACTGGAAAAGCTCCAGAAAAAAAGAAACTAAGAAATGCATAGCAGAGAGAGGATTCTTAAGAAAGCCATGTTTAACAGGACTCTGCAGTCTTAAAACAGAGTCTGAAAGTTTATAAAACCAAGAGGTAGACAGGTATAAAGAAAACTTAGACATGTTCTCTCAGAATACTAATTTGACAGGGACCAGGGGAAAAAATGAGAACCAAGACCTGTCATGTAAAGATACAAGATCCCAATAATGAATGTAACTCTACTGTATACCTAAAATGTACCAATAAACTCAATTAAAAAAAAAAGAATACTAATTCTAATGAATACTTCAAATCTAAAAAACAACAGTTTTAGAAGAAATACAGAAACATACCATTTCACCCCATCAAAACTTTAACAGAAAAGGATAGAAGCCCTTTTTTAAAAATTATAAAAATGAAAAAGAATTGTGTATTCAAAGTGCTGATACAAAGTGAAAATACATATAGGTTCACCTATATGAATGACTGAATGAATAATCCATTGATGGAAACAGAGTAAAGATCTCCTCACATTGTAGATCAACCATTTGGCGTTCCTTTCAGATATTCTGATCTGAGAAGGTGGCCTCTCTATCTTCCTCGTTACATCTCTTCCTGCCCCACTAAGGGTTTCGTATTATAGGAGTCTGCACAAAACAGACCCTTGAAAAATGTTTGCTAACTGATTGATTAATGTTTTAAGAGGATAAATGGTAAAACAACTTTCAAAGGCATGAAATAATGAGCAAACAGTAAGATAGTACCAATGAAAATAAGAATGATAATAGTGACTAGTTAACTCATTCATCTTCATGAACTCCACTTTCCAAACAATGGAACTACAGCATATAGTAGTTAGTAACTTGATCAAGCACAGAGAGCTAGGTGGTGGCAAGGCTAAGATTTGAATCTGGAAGCCTGTGATCTTAATCACCATACTATTCCAGCCAGTCCTGGGACTGTATAATTATCCTCTAGCTCTGACACCTTTCAGGATTTCATTTCATATGGAATTTCCTTTTCTGAATATTTGAAAAAATAAATTATAGGTTTAAAATTCACATTTATTTCAGAATAGAAAAATTAATACTATTACTTGATTCACACTTCATTTAAAATGTACATATTTCTTTTATATTTACCTCCAGTTTTCCTTGAGCATGACCCAGCAGCAGCAGATTGGCTCTGTCCTTCTCAGAAGAAATTGGGGCCCACAGCCAACCATCATCACTGACCAGTGGCCACCAACAAACAACTATATCCTGGATGCAATTGATAGCTAGACGGCGTTCTGTTGTTCTATTTACTGGACCAGGTATTTCACAATAGGAAATCTAATGGTTTAAAAAAAAGTGTACAAGAAACACTTCTTTTAAAAGATACAAAATCCTCAAAGTATTACAAAAATTAAAGCATCTGTAAATGTGGATACATGCAAGTAAATATGCATATTAAACATGTGCTTATGAAGGTGTCAGAATTTACCAAATTCTTTTGACACACATATAAAAAAGACATATGTTCAAAATTCTCCCCGTTTTTAGCAGAGGAAAGGAAAAGAAGAAATGTGAATTAGGGAGGAATTGGATATAGCAATTCCAATCAATACCAAAATGTACAGTCATGGTTGCTTGACAGTATCGACCTACACATAGGATTTAAGACCAGCTGTATTAAATGACAAGTTCAGTACTGCTGACCAAGACTGTCTGACTACTGTTTAAGACATAATATGTTAACAATGACTGACAACAATAAAAGGAAAAACAACTTGAAGCAAATATCTCTTTAAAGATTATATGAGACATATACACATATATTCTGCAGAAAAGGGATAAGCCATAGCATCATGCGTAAAAGTTTATGTAGCTTCTGAGAATTATGCTTTTCTTTCTTAGGAAGGATTTGTAGAATTTATTATTCAAACTATGTTATTTTGGAACATGGTTATTTGAAAACATAAGCACGACACCATCTGGGTGACACATGCCAAGGAAATATAGATTGCACAGTATTTCTGCTTAAGGAATTAATGGAAGGTTGATAGCTTGGAAGTAAAAAAAAAAAAACTATCTTGCCATTGCTGGTCAGCAATAATCGAACCACTTTCTGGGGATTAAGCGCATGGCTAAGCCTACTGGACCAGACACTAGCAAAGGGCAGGGGGTCTTCTTATCAGAGAAATGCTTCTGGAGCCAGTCTCACTACATGACAGATTGCTTTCATATTCCTGTCTGCAAGGCAACAAAGGATGGCAGTAATGCGATAATGCCAGAGTGCAATGGGTGTTAAGAACCCGTTGCATTTATGTATTGTATTTAGTAAATAATCAGGCTCATCCAAATTGTGATCTCACTACTCAACCAAGGCCATTAAAATCAAGGTTAATGCTTTAATAATCCCCTGCTATTTTTTTTCAATATGGTCAAAAGGAGCCCTTTTCTATTTGCATGGCCATAATATTATTGACCTCTTCATCCTCTGAATGCACATCAAAAGGAACTGAAATCAAAGTAATTACCAGTGTTGTTCTCTCATGGTAAACATTTAACTCCTTGCACTGTCCCTTCACTGTTAAATTGAATTGGATTTTTAAAATGTAGACAGGAAAACTTGTTAAAGGTCAATAGTTTCAAGATATTTACCCTGAAATTTTCTTTGCCAAAATTATTTCAAATCTAAAATAATTAAGTTATGGCACAGCAATAAAGAAAGGCAAAACTATAATACTCTATATAGCTTCCTTGCTTTAAAATCCAAATGGTTAATGACAAAACACATATGTACTTTATACTTTTAAGTGTCAATTCTTATATTTGAGTTCTTTATGTAATTATTCTAACTTTATTCTTGAGAGGAATACCACAATAGAATTTGTAAGTGCTTAAAATATACACACATTAAATTTTAACATACAAATTATCATGTAAGCATGTAAGTTACAAATTTCTATGTGAGGAAATAGTTAAAATAAATGTTTGGCATTTTCAGTTCACATAAAGCAATTATTATTTGAAATTTCAGGTTTCTTATGAGTTTTAATGGTTTCAGTATTCTCTCATGATGGCGAGGAGGGCAAATAAAACATAAGCTTCTTATACTCTCAATGGATAAGTGACAGTTTTAACTAATTATCACATTTTTATATTTTAAAAATTAAAATAGTAAATGAAATTTATAGGTTTTCCAAAGAGAAAGATTATTTTTATAATGTGCAGAAATGACATGGAATATCCATATTTCTAATTTCTGAAATCCAAAGGCAGAAAGAATAAGTTAATTATTTCCCTTAAATTATAAGGACCCAAATACTAGGTTTCTTTTCTAAAACTTTTCATAAGACACACTGACACCCTGACAGTTTTTCTCACTTTTCACTACCAGGAAGCTACATTCCTAAGTTGGGAAGACTTTACCAAGCTATCTATCACACCTAAGATGAAAGAAGTAATCATACAAAATTTTATAAAATAACATTAACAACGCTTATTTTAAATGTTTGAGTTAAGCATAATGGTATATTTAAAGACCAATGTTAATAAGTGAACATTTTAAATAAATCTACAGTTAGCCACTTGGAAAATAATATCCCTTTAAGAATGCTTAAGTGACTTCATTTTAAAATTTTCATTCTTTATTAGTATATGCTTGTGATACATAATAACTACATTCATCTTGGGGGATTCATACATACACACATGGCATTTTGATCATTTTTACTACTTCTTTCCCTAACTCCTTCTTCCCTAGATTCCCATTCCATTTCCAGAGTCTACCTCCCTGTTTCCTACAATTTCTCTTTTATTTTGCTATTGAAATTATTAATATTTAGGGTCTCGCAGAGAAACCATGCAATATGTAACCTCCTGTCTCTGATTTATTTCACTTAGTATTAATAAAATAACTTTGGACTAGCCAAATATGTGAGTACCACGAATTTCCAACTAAAGAAAATCAATACTACATAGTTTCATAGACCCTTCACAATTTAGCAAACAAACCAGACTGTAGTTTATTACCATAATGAAAAAACTCAGTTAGTGTATTTTATTCCATACAAATAACCTTTTAAATAGGAATAGATGCTTCTTCTAAACAAGATCCTCCCCACATCATAACCACCTCAAACATAATAAATAATAATCCCAAAGGGCAATAAATTAGGTAAATACTATTTTCCAAACACACACACAAATTTTAAGACAAAGAGCTGACTTCTAAAAATCTTTTCCCTTGCTATAGACAGTCCAGGTGTGGCATAAGTGCGTATATTTTCTAAGGAAGCTATATATTAGCTCTGTTCCTAGTGAACAGTGAGTCTCAAATCCATGTCACAGAGGCTGAATCAATCTTACAAACACAAGTCACTGCTGAAAAGAGGCTGTGAATTGAAACAGCCCAGAAAATGTGATAGATACATACCGTAGAAGAGAGTATGCCCTCCCAGTAGTTAAAATGTAACAGCAAAATTTAAACATATCATTTAAAATAAAAATCTTGCCTTAGTAGATGAAATGTAAGTATCCAATACAAGGAAACAAATTACTGGGAGTTTGTGAAGGGCTACTACATATGAAGTAAATTTCTTTTTCTATTTTCTCCAATTATAGTTGGGGGGAGGAATTCTTCCTATTCTTTGTTATACTTTTCTATTAATCTTCTCAAGTATATTCTTTTTTTCATTTCTTGTAAAATGGAAATCAGAGAAGCTACAGAGGTTCTTAGGAGAAAATAAGAATGGTGTATATACTATCACTGGCAAGAAAACTATTTTCCAAAATGTAGCTTGCCTGTTATCTGTCTTTCACTTCCATAATTACTACATAAATTGCTCCAAATATGCCATTATTAGACATCCTCTATCTCTGAACAGTGAGGAAAAAAAAAGTAAACTTTAAATGACCACTGTTTGTAGTAAGTCAAGCTTAATCCTATCATAATTCTGATTTTTCTGAAATACAGAAATGTTCAAGAGTAAGTATAACATCAAAGTATGTGATATTCTTACTTTAATAATATGGCTATATAAATTGAAATCTTTACCTTATAATCCAAGGCTGAGAGTTTTTCTAGTCTTTTGTTCACATCAGGAGAATCCATCTTCTTAGTAAACTGAATAAAACATAGTTTATTTTGTCCCAAAAATGATAAAAGGATGAAACTGTCTGTAAGAAGAGCTAAAAAAAAAAAGATTTGATAATACCAAATTAGATTAAATTATAATAAATTTTTAGACTTAAGTATTACAAAAAGCCATTTTCAGAAGATAAATATTAACTGGAATCAATAAGGTCTCCTAAATGTCATCATGATGTTCTAGAAGGATATTAAAATATTAGGAATAAATAATAACCATCAATCTATATTTTTCTTATGACTATTAGGATATATACTGATATTTGGGGTCAACCACAAAATGAGACATATGTGGAACCAAGGATAGAAAAGCATAAAATACTAGTTCATACCAGAACAAAAGTTTTTTTAAAAACTACTTTTATTTGTGCTCTACTTCCATGTTTATTATATATTATAAACCATCTGAGGGGATAAAGTCGATTGATGAGAAAACACTGATCAGTATCTTCTACCAATCTGTTTTTAATTTAAAAAATTTTCATCAGTGATCTTTCTTCTGAAGATATGAGTTGAATGAAATAAAGCATATTATACTCAATAACTACATTATAGAATTTTTTATTAATGAAGGCTAACAAAAATACAACCACTGCTTTACTTCTAAAACATACAAGTAGGTTGATGCTTAGTAACATGGGTACATGAAGGGCCATTAGTGGTACATCAAATTACTGATAAAAACATATAATAAAATTTTGAGAAATCATTTGTATTTTCCCTATATAAATAAATTAAATGTTTTATACATTCTTCTTTACTTCCACAGCCCCAGCCATGCAAGTGGTGACCAACAGTAGATCTACACAATTACAGGAGAATGTGGAGAACTGCCAAGAAATCACATCATGGTCCCATGAGACTGTATTATTTTAGGTATAAATAAAAGAAACAAGTGAAAAAAGCTCAGAGACTTGAACAGTATTGGAAGTTTCCTTTTTATTCTTATATAGGAGCATCAACATGACAAAATCATCACAGTCACTATTTCATTTGCAATGTCAACAAAGGATTTGATTGTTAGAGTATGAAAACAGAGCTCTTCCACAGGGAAGCTGCATTAGTATATCATCCTATAAGGAAAGGGAAATAGCATTTTCTCAATCATACCCTGCCTGTTGTTATCAGTAAGTAATGTTGCAATGTTGCTAATTATAGCCATCCTTCAGTGCTTTTCTTTAAAATGATGTGATTATTTCTGATTATTCAGAGGTAGTGAGAACACACAGAAGATTTCTTCACTCTCACCTTTGTCATGTCTACCAGACTACATTTTTCTTTGATTAATTTAAGATACTCACTATTTTCAATCTTTTATGATATTGCAATCTACCTTTATAGCTTTTTACCTTGAATAAAAGGACATAATCATAAAAATTCAGTAGTCAGAAAAGTATAATGGAAAAGAAAATGAAAGTTGCAGTAAGAACCTGTGTTCAAATCTCAGCCCAGTCACTTTATACCTATATGAGCTATAGCAGCTCAGCATCAGTTTATTTTAAAAATGGAAACAACTAAAATGTCAGTAAACTCATTCAATACATGGCTTAAAATCTTTTTTTGTGTGCCTTGGGTCACACTGACTGTGGTATCACCTGATAGAACCAGAATAATCTATCATATGAGACCATGATGCTGTTTTTTTAAATTTAAAAATATAACCACAATCTCTGAAAAGTTACTATTCACATACCTTAGTAAAAAAATCTTTCTATAAGAGCTGAAACACTTATAATTTTTTTACTGGTGGCTGTGTTGACATATTTGTGTTGTTTCAATAAAAATTCATTTAGAAATGAGATTTTGAGATGTAAGTAGAGGAATAATTTTGAAAAAATATAAAGCCTATTTTGAAAATAAGTTCACCTTTTTAAAGGAAAGAGCAGAAAATACTCAGAATATAATAAGCCTAAAAACCTGACAAGGAAAAAAATCATTGATATTAAATTTTGGTTGAAACTTGTACAAGTCCCAGGGGTTGTAAGTATGTTATTACAAGCAATTACTTGTTATGTTTGCAGGCCCCCAGTGGTAATAATTAGTCTACCTGTTGACACACTATTTTTCCTGTCCCACTGTTAATGTAGGCAATTGATTTGCACATGGGGGTAATTACCATCACTGATGGTGTCTGAGATGAGCTTCCCCACTAGGCTTCTGTCAATCACCACTTTCTCCAGCTGTGGCCCAGAAAGGCTTAGAGACACCAACACACCTGAAGCAAAGAGGAGCTAAAACCAGGTAAGAGGGAGAAAGGGAGGAAGACACGCTAGGTATTAGAATCATTTAAAATCCCTCTTCAAATGTACAACTTAAACAGATATTTACACATGTACTTATACCATGAAATTATAAAGAGGTTTTCTTCATTGAAAAAAAATCACCCCAACATTCAGAGTAAAAATAAACAGGCAGCTAACACCACTAAGTACTACACTAATTAAAGCTATATGTGAAAAGCTAATTGGGTGAATGTTTATTAGAAGCCTAATCTTATAAATACTTAGAGAATGTGCCCATGAAGAAATAAATGCTGGGCCTGGGATTTAACTCTGGTTCCATTGCCTGCCTCACAAGCGCAAGGACCGAGTTTGATCCCTGGTACCTAAATACATAAATAAATAAATAAATGCTTTATTTTGCATTTATAAAATGTACACTGTATTAGAATATTTTGAAAGGTTACTCTTTAATATCAAAAAGTAAATGAATTTTAAAGTTTGAACAGTTACACATTAAATATAGAAGAGAAGCCATTATTACAATGTAAATAGCTAATGTTATGATTTATTTAGAATTTAAACCATACTTTAAAAATTAAAGACCTTGTGAGTCTAAAATATTAAAATACATGTAAATCAGTGCAATTAAGCAAATATTAAATTTTTAAAATTTCAATAAACAATACATGCCATAAACAATTTCGGAAGAACAAAGAATAAATATACAGGGGCTTTATCAATATCAGTGTTCAAGGGACCACCCACCAAAAGATGATTGGATATCACCAGTGTAATTTTATACCACTCCTTTCCATTTATAGCAGCATAATTCATTCATCTCCAAATGTTTAAAACTTCTGAAAGGACTATACATATGTGTATACTTGTTATCTAGGAGATTTTGAAACATCAACATTGGAAGAAATTGTTTCACCTTCAAAGCAACAGACTCAAAGCTGATGAATCATGGAATAACATATGGTATAAGAAGGAAAAAAACAATTGTCAGTAAACTAATCATGAACATGCTAGCCAAAGTCAAAGATAACTATGATTTAAACAAAACAGGGGAATCCCCCACCCACCTAGGCATCATGTCCCAGCTAGAGATGATTCTGTGTGAAGACATACTTGGGTATGTGTGAAAGAAGAGCAGCCCACAGGACCAGGGTCCTAGAAAGAAACACCACTATTCCCTTACTGTCCAGGCAAATGAATCAGAAGTGAAACTAAAACGTTCTTTTGTAAATATTGTTATAATCTTTGTCCTACTTATCAGAAACTTAACTTTTCCTTGATTTAACGGACTGTTCCGTTTCATGTTAATGCTTCTATAGGGGTGTGAAGGGTTGGGGGAGGGGGAGACGTAATCATCTTTATAAGTTTTGAAGATTAATAAGAGAAGGTACATGTGTTCCAAGAATTTCCAAATACTTAACAATTAATCTCTACTGAATTACTTCAGTGCTGCATATCTTGATGGCAAATGCTGATATATAATTACTATGGGAATTCCCCCATAGCAACATAGCCTGTGGTCTTCACTCCTCAAATCATTTCTTCTTGGACAGGCAGGTTTAGAATCTCTTCCTTATCTAGTTTTTCCCTTCTATATACTTTGTTTTTTCCCTATTCGGTTCAAAATAGCTCTTAAGTCTGTCCTTTTCTACTATTGTTTTTTTTCTTACTGAATATTTACACCTATACTCATAAGTACCTCTTTTCCTAATTATTCATTGACACCAATTCCTTATGGACACTGGCTAAGCCATAGTTATCTTTGTATCTTAAATACCTAGAATATGTTGGGCACATCAAAGGTACTCAATAAATGTTTGGAGAAAAGTCATGACTAACTCATTATGGGATTAGATAATTTGCAAGAGAAAACCTGGCCTACATTTCCTCTTCAACATGACATGGCTTTTCCTTCCCCAGCATCCCTCCAAGCATCCAGCCCAGACTCCAGCATTGCCAGTGACCAGGAGTTCATTGCCTTACAGGATAGCTGTCCTACTATGGGACAGTTCCAATAAATTTAAAGATCATTCATTTCTTTTTTATTCAAAAAAAACTGAATGTTGATTATATGCCAAGCACTAAACTAAATTTAATGACTCAAAAAATTGATCAAATATAACCTTTAAGATAAGTTAGATGTAAGTTAATAGAGAGATACAAGCAAATAAATGCTGTTACTCCTACTTTTAATAGAAGTGCACACTGAGTAAAATAAGAATTTGAGAAGCCGGTGACCCTTGAAGTTGACAGTAAGGCTATACTATAGCTGCCTTCTCAACTTCCACTTGATTCCAGTTTTTCTTTAGTAGTTCCCCCTTCAACTATTCAGATACTAACCTGATGGTTAACAGTATGAACTCCGAAATCAATATTGGCTCTATTTCTTGCTAGCTGTGTGATGATGAAGTTATTTAACCTCTCTGTATCATCATCTCATCTGAAAATAGACATGATAGTACTTACTGCATAGGATAAGAACTAAATAACCTTTACGAACAGCATGTAGAATAATGCCTGGCATATAGTAAATGTTGGCAATAACTTTAACCATTACTCATATATGTTCTCACTATTCTCTTTGCCATCTTTGAACACAACTTTGTCTTTTTAAAAAATAATTGTAGCTGCACTGGACTAAAGATTAAACAGGCGCATGAGGCTCCAGGTGAGTTCTAACCAGGAAAAAGGACAGTTTTTGTTGCCTTTCCCAACTGCTCTGACTTCATAAGGACATTCACTGTCTTCAAAGTACCTGTAGGTTCCTTCAGAATTTTGGAAATTAATTCATCCAAGACTCTAATTTCTTTTTCCTGATTTTCTGCTCTCACCACCACTATCACAGAATAACCCTTCTCTCCTAATAGAAACTTCTCTCTATATATAAATTTCTCTCTCTATATATATAGAAATTTCTATATGTAAGCACAAAATTAATTTTAAAAGGCCACTTTTGTGTGATGGAAAAGGAAAGTGAAAGCTGCAGGACTAGGTAAAAGAGGGAATTAACTAAAGCTACCAAGGATTCGGAAGGGAGGGTGTCATGAAGCAGTAGGAAGCATCATCTGTTCTTTGCATGGACATGGGATTGGTGATCTGGACACTGGATCCTGTCCAGAGATCTTGAGTGTTCCTTCATAATCTTTCTCACAGGCTAGGTACAGCCCCTATTCCACATTCACTAATTCATTCCACAAATACATACTTAAAAAGTTGTATGATCCAGGTACTGTTTCAAATGCTAACGATCAGCACTGAATTAAAAAAACAATACCTTTGCCCTTCCTGTCCTCATGGGTATGGGCACATAACCACCAAATAATAAGTACGGAAGAAAAGTACAAAACACAGTAAAATAGGGATTTTAGATAAATGCTATTTTACCCAGGATGACTAACAAAACCATTAAAAGGCTGTCTTCAGAAAATGGCATTTGAGTAGACCCAAATAAAACAAAGGCATAAATATCTGGAGAAAGGTAATTCAAGACAAAGAGAATAGCAAATGTAAAAACTCTGAACATGGAATGTGCCCTGGATAACAGATGAATGCTAGGCCAAAGTATTTCAATGGGAGAGGGATATTCACAGAAAACAAAGGCACAGAGGTAGTCAAGAGTCAGGTTATGCTGCTGAGCCTTGCTGATGAGAAGCCACTGTATTTTAAGCAGCAGAGAATTATGATCTCATTTAACTTCGGGGGAGGGAAAAGAGCAAAGAGACCATGATGAGGCTGTTGAAGTGGTTCAGGAAAGGGAAGAGAATAGCTTGAATTAGAAAGTCAATGCTGAAGGCATTGGGCAGATTTCAGATTGTATTTATTTATTTATTTATTTAGTACCAGGGATTAAACTCAGGACCTTGTGCTTGCCAGGCAGGTGTGGCACCTCTGAGTTAAATCTCTAGCCCTACTGAGATATATTTTAAAGAATATTCATTAGTATTTGCTGAAGGAGTACACGTGGCATGTACGAAACTCAAGGTTTTGGGCGTGAGCAAGTAGGTTATCTGAGATAAAGAGAAGCAAATTTAGATTATGGGGAATCAACAGTTTGATTTTGAATATTTTAAGATGTTTATGGAAATACACTGGAGATATCTAGTGGACAATTAGAAATGAGTCTGAAGTGCAGTGGTGAGTAAGAGGTGGAGATTTATATTTTGGAGTCACCAAAAATATAAAGATAATATTTAAAATCATGGAAATGGACAAGCTCTCCTTTAAAAATGAGTAGAAAGAGAGAAAAAAGTCCAAAGTCTGACCTCTAGGATATTCTAATCTTTAGAGATGTCAGATGATCAGGTTAGGTCTCTTACTGAAACCAAGACTGAGTACTTGTTAGGATCAAGAATGTCCACCATTTCAGATCTCTATAAGTTTTGTAGCTAGAGGCATTCCTGATACCATTTTTTAGAATATGAAGGCATGGATAAATTAATAAGCTGATTAATACATCTTATAAAACAGCCTGTGGGAAAGCATAAAGTTTCCAAAGTACTGGTGCCAAAGATACTACTGGATATAGTAAAGGAGATAACCAGTGTCACAAAAATAATAGCCTGAAACTCAGGGAAAGAATATTCTAGCCCTAGACAAGAAAGAGCTAGTTTCAACTCTGCCTATTTTCCCAAAGCAGTTAGTCTTAAGGCCCTAAAAATGAAAAGGGACTAGGATATCATAAAATTTGGTAAGGTAAAAAGGAAAAAGGACACTAAGACTATGTCCTGTTAAATAGCAAGTGGTTAAGGGATTCTGACAGCTCGGAAAATGAAAAAGGGCAGGCCAGGTGGCAAAGGGAGGCACTTCTGAAGCAGAGGCACCTCTGAGCTTGAAAAGAGCTCTAAAGATGAACCAATGAGAAGTGCAGTGGGATTTCCCAACACTATCCTCCTTTTAATGTTGTCTTTTGTGCAGGAGACAACTAAGGCAAAATTACTGAAGCTTTTCCTTTTCTCTGACACTCCTCCAAACAAGAGTGGGGTATCCAGGATAGGGATTTAGCTCAGTGGCACCATACCTGCCTTGCAAATGCAAGGTCCTGAGTTTGATCCCTGTACATTAAAAAAAAAAAAAAATGGAGCAGATATATGTCTAGAAATGCTACTGCCTGCTAAGTCTATTTCAAATTTTCAAATCTCATTTTCATACTTATTCTCACTATAAAACAAATGATGCTATATTTTAATCCCTTCTATTTACATAGGATGATCATTCCTAAAAATAATTATAATCAGGACAAATTCACAAAAGATGATAAAAAAGGAAATTTCACATTTGTTAGTAAATTTAAAATGTATAATAAAAGCAATGGCAAGAAATGAACCTGAAGACATATTAGATTATTATGGTTTATATCTAAAATGTACCCCAAAGCCTCATGCGCTCATAGGTGGGACTTTGGAAAGGTGATTGGATCACAGGGGCACGATACTCATGAAATAATCCACTGGTGAGCTAACAACTAAATGAGACTTAGGAAGCAAAACCTGGTTGGAAGAGGAAGGTCACTGGAGGTGTGACCTGGAAAAGTATATCTCCTTCTCTTCTCCCTTGATCCTTCTTTCTGCCTCACCACCATGGTATCCATAAACAAGTCTCTTCTGCCATGACCCTCTACCATGTTGCCCTGACTTGGAAGCAGCTGGCTATGGACTGAAACTTCTACACAATGTGAGCCAAAATAAGCCTCTCTTCTTTTAAGTGTGGGTGTCAGGTATTGTCTCAGCAATGAGAAAGTAACTAAGACACAAATAATATATTACCTTTGCAAAGTACTTTACAATTTATAGAAAACTTTTACATACACTAAAATGCATGTAATATGTCAGTATAACTCTCGTAGAGAGTAAGTATGCAAATTTTAATAAATAAATAAATAACAAAATAAAAATAGTAAAAAACAGGGAGACAAATCTTTTGCAAATAGGAAGAAGACCAAGCGATAGAGGGAGGGAATCCAGAGGAAGGAGAAGGGGAAGTAAAGGAACTCAGATGTGTTATGTACATGTACCAACTCCTTACAATGAATGTACTCATTATGTATTACAAACATGTACTAATCAAAATTAAAAATTTTAAAAGAGTAGAAATCAAGTTCTTATACAATCAGAACAATAAACCACCTAACCAAAGGTCTCATACTAGTGGGAAAGTTGTGACCAAAATAGGTCAATTAATGACATTCCTATACTCTCTGATACTAAGGAACTATCCTTAATTTTCACTTTTTAGTTGACTTCCATGTAATACCCTATTTGTTTTCCTTTCTCTAGCTCTTTTCTTTACTCTAAACCAGTGATGGTGAACCTTTTAGAGTTTTCAATGATACAAACAGCCCACCTGGCACACATGCCATAGATTTGTCACCACTATTCTAAACTAATGGTTCTGAACTAGGGATGACTTTGGCTACCAGGGGACTGCTAGCAATCTCTGAAGACACTGTAGTAGCAACATCCACAGAGCCTAAAATTAAGACTATTTGTTAATGAGTTGGTATGGAGGTGAAGGGTTTTCCATGTCTCCATCAAGTAGATTTAGGAGTTCCTCAAATTCTAATCAACACTTGTCTCACAAAGAGGAAAGGTAATATGATAAGATGTCCTTTGACGTGAATAAGGATCTGCTCAGATGTGTCAACAGAGTGGTGGACAGTGCATTCCAGATCAGAAGCCTAAAGGAAACTTGTTCTGTGTCTCTAAGCACATTCAGGGCTATGACTCTGATGACTAATGTCAGTTGCGAAGACACAGAGAGCCCCAGGGTAGGTTACACAGCTAACCTTAGTGTAGCAGAAATATCCTGTTAGAACACCTCCTTGCTTTTGTTCTAATTTTCTGCTCGCCAATCAGCCTTATCTCTAATTTAGTCTCTTGAGTAATTTATCCATCAGATAGGAATGCCCCAAGCAAATAAGCAATGTTTATGATGCCAGATATGTCTCACGTTGTAAATTGATAAACTGCCATTCCAGTCAATAAATTAGTCACTTCTGAGTTTGGCTATTGTGAACATTGTTAGTATAAGAAAATAAATGGAGATAACATAAAAGATAAAATAAGTTTAATTTATCAGAAATTTTCTGCCTAAGTTCATGATACATTGTTGTGGTTTTTTTGGGGGGGCATTTTGGCATTTTTTTTATTCTTATAGCATTCTGTGTACTGACACAGATGTAAAAGAAAATGACTGAAACTTAAATGTGAAAAACTTTTTATAATTCAATCCATAATTTTATACATGTTCGTGAAAAATCACCAACTCTTATTAAGGCAAGACAACTTACATCACAAAATAACCAAAAAAATGGAAAATATTTCATAAAAAATATATTCCAACTATGAAAAGAATTACTTCCTTGGTGTCTTCACAACCTTCTCTTCTGTGTACTTATGTATAATATATTGTTTCTTTGGGTAAATGCATCCCCATACTTATTCTTCAGTTGTCCATTTACATGTTCTTCTGTTTGCTCCAGGGCTATATTCATGTAGCCATCCAGGCAAGCCAGGACCCCTTGATAATCCACTCCTGAATTTAATTTGACCACAACTGGCTTTCTGATGATTTGCTTTAAGAAGTCACTAGGAGTTTGCTTCTGCAGACTCATTTTAACAATCTTGGGAGGTAGGAAACCTGAGTTCAAATTTCAGCTCTGCTACTAAAACTTGGATGTATGACTTGAGTAACTCATCATTTCACCTCCCATGGCCCCAGGTTCCTCATCTCACGGCTGGGAACCAGAACCCCGCGCCACACAATACTGTCTCAGGGAAAACCCGATACATTGTTGAATGAGGATGACATTTTTAAAAGTTTCAAAAGTGACAACATCCAATTTTATCAGGGAAAAAAACCAAGTATGATATGCCTACACACAAACATACTGAAGTTGTAGGAACACAAGAAAATATCAGAAAGAATACACAAAACTGTTGGTAGTAGACACATCAGAGATGGAACTGGGAGATGGGGGGGGCATGAAATTTATCTTTTCGCTTAAGAGATTTTTGGAATTGATACTAGGGATTTTTTTACTTTTGGTTATTATTTGGTATTTTTATATAAAACTTTTCAAAAATAAAAATGAAGCTCTTAAAATATCTAACCATACATTCATTTTTACTTTATGGTTTTAAAAGAAATGACACAAATATGTTTCTGAAGTCAGAATGTTAATAATGCACTAAGAATGGTTCCTTCCCTAGAAAGTTCAATTAGGACACCAAAATTATTCCCTCGTGTCTGTAAGTAACCTCATAAATTCTCGATAATCTTTTTATTATTTTGCCTTTTGATTATTCATCCATCTTCAATTTCCTTCTTTACTTAAAGTTGCCAGTTACAACTGTAAAATATAGTATATTTAAACTATGAATTACTATGCACCTATTAAAAATAAGGAGGTAGCTATACATTGTTGACAGGTTTTATATATTGTAATGTGAAACAAGTTACAGAACTATAGGTATATAATTCCATTTGTTTAAAAAACTGTATATATACCTAACGGGATGAGTATCTGAAGAAGGTTATAAGTCAAACTGCTAACCAGTGGAGAGGAGAATGAGTTTGAAGTAAGTAGAACATTTACTTTTTTATATGTATCTATTTGTATTGTGCACCATTTTACAATTACCAGGAATTATCTTTATCATTTTAAATTTTAAAACATTAAATGTGGAAATAAGATCAAAGCTAATCTTTTTTCATTTCCTTTAGCTTGATATTGCCATTTTTAATTACTCACTTTTACCTACAAATTTCAACTATACCAGTATAATCTGATGATTTTCTTTCTTCTATTTATATCAGGTCTACCACTTTAATATACCTCCTTGTCCATTCTCTTTTATTAGGAACATACTCAACAGTTGATATTTATACCTTCCAACTATCCTTTCCTGTAATCCACATCAATGCAACATAACTAAGAGTATTTCCAGGCCATGAAATAATAATCGTTGAAGATGTTCCAGGAAACACAGAAACCTGTCATATAATAGATCTCTCTTGGAAACTGACAGCACTACCTCCTGCGTAACTGAAATTCATATTCTCACCTTCATATGCAATGGGACACCTTCCTAATTTGCCAGCATAGACTTATTATGGTAGGTTTAAGCACAACAAAAACTTCTTAGGGTAAATACTGTTAAATTGCTACTACTGCTTTTTGCTGACTTAGAAGAACAAAACTAGAAATATCTAAAAGTAAAAATTATCACATAAAGAAAATGTAGGGCATATGCCAAAGGGAATACTACAATCTTGAAAAAAAATTTATCATTTGCAACAACACAAATGAAAGTGAAGGACATTATGGTAAGTGAGATTCTAGGCAGAGAATGACAAATACTGCATGATCTCACTTATACGTGGAATCTAAAAATGCCAAACAGAATAGTAGTTATCAGATGCTGGGCAAGGTCAGGGAATTGGAAAATGCTGGTCAACGGGTAGAAATTTTCAGTTAGGAGGCATACGTTTTAAGATCTACTGCACAGCACAGTAACTAGATTTTTCTCATCTATCCTAATTATTACTCTCCCTTTTTTTCTAGGTTAATGAAAAAGTGACAAATTTTCAAATAAAATTTAAATTATATGCTCACATACGGTTAGTTGCTTAGATGTTGATATTACTCATAGTTAGTCTTTCTTTGCAAAGCAGTGATAGAGACTGAATTTACTACTTTGAATAGGTTGAGAGTTCTCATGCTGAGACACACCCAAAGCCTAGGAACCATTACAAGACAGTTACTCCCTGAAGGCATCTCAACACAATCAACATAGCGATATCCATCCCAACTGATCTTCAAACTTCAACTGATCTGAAAATTTCAACAACAAAAAAACAAGAAACATGAGAAAACAAGGCAACAAAATGCTACCAAAACTTCATGCCTTCAAAACTAATCCCAGATACTCAAGTAGACAAAATTGCAGACAAAAAATTTAAAAAATGATAGTCAAGATGATCAAATGAAATCAAACAAGATACAAAAAAGGAGCTGATTAAGAAAGACAATACAGGATATGACAGACCATTTCAGTAAACAGACATGGATTCTGGAAAAGAAACAGAAATACTAGAAATGAAATACTCAATTAAATAAAAAACTCAATTGAAAGTCTCAGCAGTAGGCAGGATGAATTAGAAGAAAGACTATCAGGGATTGAAAAGAATGTGGATGTACTAGAACATTCAGTTAGTAATAATGAAAAAAAACAACAAGAAACGATGAAAAGATTATGCCAGAGCTCCCAGAATCTAAAAGAACAAATTAAAGAATGGTTGGTCACAGGAAAGGTGTGGAAGTACAGGCTAATGGCAAAGAAATCTATTCGCTAAAATTATATCAGAGAAATAAAATTATTTCCCTAATCTGGGGAATGAGACAGATTCTAGGTAATGGAGGCATTCAGAATCTCAAACAGATATGACCAGGAAAGAACCTCTCAACAACATATTATAGTTAAATTGGCAAAAACTCACAACAAAGAAAAAAATATTAAAAACTATTAGAAGGACGGGGGATTTAGCTCAGTGGTTCGGTGGCCTGCCTTGCAAGTGCAAGGACCCGAGTTCAATCCCTGGCACCAAAAAAAAAAAAAAAATTTTAGAGAGAAATACCAAATCACTTGTAACAGCAAAACCATTAGAATAACACTATATTTCCCAACAAACTCTGAAGGCCATAAATTATATATTTTAAGCCTGGAAGGAAATAATTGTCAACAGACTATGATAACCTGTAAGACTATCCTTAAAACTCAAAGAAGAAATAAAGATCTTCCCTAATAAGGATAAACTAAAGAAATTGATGACAACAAATCCAGTATTGCAGAAAGTACTTAAAGGAACCCTAAACACAGTATGAGGAAAACCATACAACAAAGGAAAAGAATAGGAAGAGTGAATAAACAAATGAAAATCTTAATCACACACAAAAACAAGAAAATGACTGGGATGAGCAAAAAAAACAAAAACAAAAAAAAAACATTTCAATAACAACAGTATAAATTACTTTTCTTCTCCAGTAAAAAAATACAGGCACTGGCAGAAGGGAAGAAAAAACAAGACCCAACTTTAAGTTGCATGCAGGACATATACCTCACCTAGAAAGACATACAAAAACTGACAATGAAAGAACAGAAAATGATACTCCAAGCAGCTGAAGCCTAACAGCAAGCAGGAGTATATGTATGTATACATGACAAAGTAGATTTTGAACTATAATTAGTATAGAGACAAATGCCACTAAATATTGGTAAAAGGAACAATTTACGAGGAAGAGATAACAATTGTAAATATACATGCAGTAAACATCAGAACACCTAATTTTACAAAATGAACACTACTTGACATTAAGGGTGAGATAAACCTCTAATACTATCACAGTGGTGACTGAAACACCCTTATCTCATGAATAGGTCAACTAGACCAAAACAACAACAAAAACAAGGAAACATCAGAGTTAAAACTACACTAGATATCAAATGGACCTAACATTTCTAGAGTGTTTCATCTGGCAACAACAGAATACATATTCTTTTCAGCAGCCCAGAGTTTTTTATTCCATAATAGACCATATTGTAGGCAAAAAGGCAAGCCTTAATAAATACAAAAAATCAAACAATCTCATGTACCCTGATCAGATCACAATGGAAGAAACCAACAGCAATATAAAACAACACACGGGCACGCGCACACACACACACACACACACACACACACACACACACAGAATGAACTGCTGAATGATCAGTGGGTCATCAAAAATATCAAGGGAGAAATTTAAAAATTACTAGAATCAAACTATAATGGAAACACAACATAGTGGAATGTGTAGAACACAAGAAAAACAGTCCTAAGATAGAAGTTTAAAACCATCATACATACACCAGAAAAATAGAGTGATTCCATATAACCTAATGATGCATTTCAGGGTCCTAGAAAAATAAGAAACAACCATATCTAAGCCAAGTAGAAAGAAAGAAAGAAAATATCAGAAATAAATAAATGAAACAGAGACTAAAAGAACAAAATGAAGAATCAATGAATCAAAGTGTTCTTTGAAAATAAAAAGATTGATAAATCTTTAGTCAAACCTACCAAAATAGAGAAGCCCCAAATTAATAAAATCAGAAATAAAGGAGGCAAAGTCATGTCATCGCTAGATCCTGAGGATTATTTGAAACTATTTTCCAATAAATTGGAAAATCTAGAAGAAAAAGACAAATTCCTAGACTCATACAAGTTAAATTGAACCAAGAAAATATAAAAAGAAAACCTACAGGAATCAATAACAAGCAACAGGATTAAAATAGTAATAAATACTTTCCCCATGAAGAAAGGAGGCTAAGGCAGGAGGATCACTGAGTTCGGGATCAGCCTGGGCTACACAGTTAGTTCCAGGTCAATCTCAACTACATAGTGAGACCCTGTCTCAAAAAAACAAAAAAATAAAAATCAAAAATAAACAAAAATAAACAAGAGTTGTGGGCTGGGGATTTAGCTCCGTAGTTCTGTCGCCTGCCTCGCAAGCACAAGGACCTAAATTTGATCCCCAGTACCAAAAAAAAAAAAATTCATCTTGGGAGCTGGGTGTTGTGGTGCACACCTATAATGCCAGCACTCGGGA